TAAAACAGTATAATACAGGTTTTCTAATATAATCTCTGGCTATAGATACACAGTAAGAAATATCAAATAATGTTTATAAGGCACTGGAGATAATTATTTTGGATGAAAAGATGTGGGGCTATTCAAACTTTATTTTTATATTTATACATTGATTTATTTAAAGAGTATGTACCATTTTATAAAACCAACAAAGCTATAATTCTTCACTGCAAAAACATTAAACCAAATAAAATATATTGGAATGAATCCCAGAAGTTAAGCCCACCGAGGACATTTATTAAAATGTCCCCTTGGAGACATTCATTAGAAGCATACATTTGTTTAGCAAGCACTTTTTAAACTCTTACTATGTGATTGGGTAGGAAGAAGTATAATTAAAACTGGTTTAGGTCAATGACCCTTGAATTCGGGGAACTTACATTTTAGTTAGGGAAAATTGTAAGATATTAAGAAGTAGAAAACAAGTGGTAAGAGTATATTACTAAAGAATTATTTATGTATTCACAAATCTATGTTTTAAGTGCGATGAAGACAGTGAGATTATAATGTACCTGGTTTGTCTCAGAAAACTTCATGCGGGAGGGTTTTAAGTGGTTTATCCTTTGCTAAGACAAGGAGAGAGCGTATTATTAAAACAACTGATGAGGCAAGAAAAACATATGCTTCAAACCGCATTTGCAGCTGGCACCTACCCTTCATCCTAGTAGATAAAATTTCTGCTGCCTGGTTATTTGGTAGTCTAACATTTACTGTTATAAAAATTTTCAAGGCCTATAATAAAGAAGTCTTTGTAGACATTGTTAGCATTTGGTTTATGCCTATCAGAACAGTGTTTTCTATTATACTTAAGAAATAGGAAAGGGACCACCAAAGTTTTGTTTTGTTTCATTACAACATCATCAGAGAAATACATACCATTTTAGAAGCACATTATTTTTCAATTGCACTCACCCCATGACCAAGTCTGATAAACAGTGGACTACTCAGAGAAATATCATCATAGTTTTCATACATAACTTTGGCGATGAGCAAACAGAACAAAACAAAAACCCTACATCAACAGGCATAGCTTCCTAAGCTGGGTGGTATATTTCTCATGAGAACTTCGAGATTACCATCAGACCTAGAATGACTGAGGAATATTTTTCTTTTATTTTTCAATTTAAGAATTAAAACTGAGACTGAGGACTTTTGAAGTTTCTCCATTTATTATCGTTTTATTGTTTGCTTCTAACCCTTTCCAGGAAAGCTAAGCATGAAAGGGTCTGAGGGGGTCCATGGTGCCTCCTGTATCGAAGAGTGTTGAGAAAACATACTGAGGTCCATTGCGTCTTGAGCTACACTCATTAGATTATAAGAATCTAAGTGATTAATTCTTAGATTCTTAGAATCCAAGTGAAACCCATACCTTGCACAGGGTGAATATCTTGCAAACTAACAAAGCAACTAATTGCTAGAGATCAAGAGGAAGCACTAAGGGGAAATTAGAAGAACTTTTTATCCTGTTAGGAAAATATCACGATGAGAAAAAAATTGCAGACTTACATCCTGAATTCTGATTTTCATTAGATTTTGTTTCAGAATTATTAACGTAAATTAGAACAGACTTATGGTATTTGTTTTACTTCAGCATGGTTTCAACAGGTTAGGACTTATACATACCTATCCACTACCTAGAGAAGGCAAAGAAGTTAGAAACCTCATTTCCAAAACCATGTGAATTTGACGTCTAGCTCTGGTGGACAAAAATAGAAGAGGAAATACAGGCTGTCTCTAGCTGGCTGGCTAAAGGATATGAGGTGGAATCAGTCCTTTGCATTGGTTCTGCAGCTACACATTCTTGCACAAAGAATGACCTTCTCCGCAAACACAGAATCATTTTTAGTCACGAAGACAGCAGTAGCTTCACTATGCTGAACCCCACAGGATGTGTCATTCGTTCATCTAAACTTCTAAGCCATTCAGTTAATTAGAATCAGTCATTCATTCCAAACTCATTCAGAACCTTCTAAAAAGAAGGGCTATGATGGTTGCAGTAAGGACTACAGAGGTGGACAGAAAGGCCACTGTCCCACAGAGTTAACAACTTAATGGCAAAGAGCAGAATGTATGTAGATATGCCTTACAGAGTATTAAGTATCAGCCTGATTCTAATAGCACATTAAAAACATCACTGTCTAAAAAGGACATGAGTTATTTTCAGGAGATGTTACATTTCAGGCCTGTCCTTTCATTCTACGTTTTTCCATTTTCCACTGCTGAGCATATATTGGAAGCTTTAACAGTACTACTGACTTCATTTGCACAAACGAAGCCATTCCCTTCAGCTGCTTGATAGGTTCATCAGCCAGTCAGTTCTTACCCAGTAAATGCCTGCAGTTTTTTAATGACAGAATTGTACTTCAATTGACTTATTTTAAATTCCAACTTCTTCCTCCTTGTGTTTGACATAGGAGAGGGTGAGAAATATTACAACTGCTAGTTCTCCTTCCATGTGTAATTAGATGTGCACTTTAATACCTATGGTAGTCTCATCATGTCATTTCTTGTATTTCCCTCTGTAGTGCCTACAGGTCTAAAATATTAGATTAGACGATTTGACATTCAGATTCTATCCAAAATGAATGGTTTCGACTTTGGAGTTAGATATGTCTTGGCTTGTATTACTTAGCTGTGCCATTTTCACACAACCTCCTTAACCTTTCTGGATCTCAGCTCCTTCAGCTGTAAAACAGACATCATTCTACTATACAAAATTGAAGTAAAAAGACACAATTTATGTCAAAATACCTAGACCATTCCATTACATATGGCCAGTGAATGTGTGACTTCACTTCTCGATTCCTCCATTAAAGTAGTTTCATTATCTCTACTACTTTCTAGTCTAGAACAAAGCAGGTTCAAAGGATTAGGGGGCCTTCTTCATTACCTTTTAATTTGCTAACAAGTCAGCTGAAATACTTCAGCAGCAAAATATTTAACATATAAGACGTTCAGTGGCTTGCGGGATTTCCTAAGAGCAGACTTAGAGATCAGTTTTTGTATCTTTCAGTTGACTTTCAGTATTAAAAATAAATTGTGATTCTCTAATTCATTGAGCATGGACTTCAAGGTACAACAATCAGAATACAAGAGATCCTGGGCCAGGTATGGTGGCTCACTCCTGCAATCCCAGCACTTTGGGAGGCAGAGGCAGGTAGATCACCTGAGGTCAGGAGTTTGAGACCAGTCTGGCCAACATGGTGAAACCCTGTCTCTACTAAAAACAGAAAAGTCAGCTGGGCATGGTGGCAGTGCTTGTAATCCCAGCTACTCAGCAGGCTGAGGCAGGAGAATCGCTTGAACTGGGAAGGTGGACATTGCAGTGAGTTGAGATTGTGCCACTGTGCTCCAGCCTGGGCAACAAGAGCAAAACCCATCTCAAATTAATAATAATAATAATAATAATGAACACAGGAGATTCTGACTGAAGATTCGAGCCCCTGAAAGGATCCTGATAATGGTACACCTTAGTAACTTTCAGTCCTGAAGTTACTAAGGAAATAAATGGAGATGCTCCTGTGCCTTAAATTTTCATACACTCATTACATGGCACTAACTTTACGGAGATTGGTAGCCGACAGTTTTTAACTAAAGGTCACCTGATGTTTAAGTCCCTTAGTGTATGATAATGTGGTACTATTTGCGATATATATATTTTTAGTCTATTCTTTATATATCACTCACCCACTATGGTTTTCTATTTCAGAAGCTACTTATATTAAAATACTCAGAGTACTAGGAAAGAATATGTCAATGTATAGGTAAGTATGGTTATACATAAACACACATATTTTGGGCTAGAGAATAACTGTAAAATTATTTAGCCTTGAAAACAATGCAAAATAGGGAATTATGCTATATTTAAAGATTTTAAATCCAAAAGAGATTCTGCTTTTCTATAAGTCTCTTTTATCTAAGGATAAAAAAAATCCTATTTAAAGTCTTTTTATTGAAAGCATGCCCCAGGATTTAGCAAAATGTCTGTCATATGGTAACTGATAAAACTTCACTAAAAAAAAAAATCAGATAAAATCTTGAATTTTATAAACAGATATACTCTGCAAATAAGAATTATCTCAAGTTGCCAAGAAACTAAGTGGCAGAAGAGGTAATAAAGTTCATGTCAATAAATTTATAGTTTCTGCCAAACATTTTACAAAATATTACAATGATCTAGGTTATTATCATGAACCTATTCACAGGTAAAACAATTTAGAGAGAGAAATGAAGCCATTAGGTCCAGGTGTAGCAACAAGGCGGGGCAGCTGAGAATTCTAATGCTTGACTCAAGGTACGTACATTTATTTTTGTCTTTTCAATTTTCATGTTCTTTCCTCCCTGAATGCTGTTGTGAGTTCCTGATGAAAAGTTATCAGGAAGAAGTATGTTGAAGAAAACCTGGTGCTGACTTGAAAGACCCGTGGAGTGTGTCTCCCACATTTCTCAGAAATTTTACATTATTTTTTCAAACAGGTACTAATAAATATCTTAAGCAGCATAGACAAAAAGCAAGAAAGGGTAATTTTACTGCAGCAGACCCCACTGACAATGTACTCTCCAATTCAGTGAACCCTTTATAAAGGTTGCATTTTGTTGTTTTTTTTTTTTCCGATACAGTATATTCCAATAAAGTGAAACCTAGCAGCACAAACACTGAATATTTCATAGAATCATGGCCAGGCAGATAACTATTTTACAGATATCAATTTAAGTCTCCTATTTTTACCCTCTGCTTCATCCAATAACATCATTCACAAATTTGGTAACAGGCTTAAGACCATTCAGTTGTAACTACAATGTTTCCTTATTTAGCACTCTTTGGTTTTGATAAACGGAGAGAAATTTTAATTTCCTTGTTTAATCACTAAAACAAAAAAAGTTCTGAGAATATTCCTTAATTTATTTAAAAAGACATAAATTTCTAAAACATGAAATGGCACAGTCTATTAAACACTCACCTAAACCAGACTTTTTTAATCGTTTTAAGTGCTGACTTGTTTGTTTTCCAGTGGGAGATTTTTGCCCATGTTTCATTTCTTTATCTGAACTGTCTGCTTCACCATTTTTAGATTCGGATCCTAAAAAAGGAAATAGTTATTATGTCATTATCTTCTCTAGCTGTCCTCAAAAAGAAAAATCTAAAATTGTTTGAGGAACTGTAGATATAATCTTTTCTAAGAGTTAATACACTACCTTTGGCCACAATCTGATTCCTCTACTGGATATAAAAAGAGAAGCCCAATAAATCAATCAAAAAGAACAAAAAGCAAGAACAGATGGCCTAATAGTGGAGTCAAAAATACATTCAGTGATCTGATAGCTTTTAAAAGAAATAGAGTCAGATCTTTTGTAAAACTATGTGAATAAGCTCGAACAATACTATGCCATTTTGAGACAATACAAGACAGAGACAGAAAGATGAGGAAATAAATCTTGAAGAGAGGGAGAGATTATACTTTTATATACAACTTTATGTTGAAGTAGAAACAGAAAATACAAATGTTAATCTATAACATATAGAATAGTACATAGCTGATAAAGTGACAGAAGGTAAATTAGAAGAAAAGGTCAGGGCTGCACTTGGGTGAGAAAAATGCTGCCAGAACACAAAAACTAATAAAGGATTTCTGATTTTGCAGCACAGGACTGAAAAACAAATTCACACTCACCAAGAACTGCTTTTGATGGGTATTATACAACAGCATGTGGTCCACCTTTGAAGTTCAACATTCAAACAAAAGCCAAGGCAACAACAAAATTCACCTACACATTTTCTTACACCTACTGTCTTTAGCAAATGAAGTCATTTGATCATGATGAGCAAGCTGGTGCCTTTTTCTTTTCTAAACTGGAAGTAGTCTATATTTTTGAATCACTGAGTCAAAGATATAAAAAAAAATTAAACCAAACCTGAAGTGGAAATATTATTCAGTTTCAGAAAAAAAGTCATGACATCTCTCTCAGTGAGGAAGTTTTCTCCAGGAAGAAACTGGCCAAGCATAAGGTATTTCAGCTCTTTACCTGAAGGTGAATCCGACTGCTCATCAGACACCTTTAATGGTGTCAGAACAACACGAGGAACTGTCTTGTTTACCATCATTGAGACTCCATTTCTTCTTTTCTGCTGCTGCCTCAAAGCCTACAAAACATAATAAAAATATATAAAAATATAGCCAAAATGATTTCTCGTAATTAAATGACTCATTTGCCCATCATTAGATAGAACCTCTTCAGAGACTTAAATTCCACAGAGCCCCTAATTTCTCAGGATTCTTAATAGTTACCTTCATATCATTTTCCCTCAAAAGCATAAAATCAGGCTTTGGCAAAGGGTATAAGCCCAATACCATTTTCGGTACAATTCTAACAACAAAGCAGCACTTAATGGTTTCTTCTACCTTAGCACTGTGGCTTGAGAGTCCATGGAATTTGAAACTATGACTCCCAAGTCAAATGAATGTAAAATAAATGTTTCAAAACCAGGATAAAAATATATGTGTCTGCACTTCTCTCGCAGGTGCGTCCTCTCCAGCGCACCGCTCAGTCAATCAAGTTAACACTGAGTGTCATCAGTATGTACAGCATGTAAGGACTACAGTATTGATGCACTCACTCAGCCGTGGGGAGCACTGCACAAAATCACTGAACATGGCAGGAATCATTTATTTCTGTGAAAGGAATCAGTCCTAATCTTGGAAACCTTGCAGCACTTGGCTTCTGTCTGCTTGACTTTGGGCATTAACCTTCAGAACACGAACATGACAGGTTCTAGGATATCCAGGAAAAAATGGATATAAGAATAAATCTCTCCAAATGGGAACGCTTTGTGTTTCATAAATGAATTGACCACGGTGATGATAATGTAATAAAAGACATTTAAAAGTTTTGAAATACAGCTTATCTAGCTGATCACTTTATACAGAAAATTACCTGTAATAAAAAGGGTCTTAAGCACACAAAACTGAAGAGCCATTAAATTCACAGTCACAAGAATGCTAAACCTCCTCAAAAGGTTAAAAGGCTGGCTTCATACTGTCTCAAGCCTTTTTATTCCTAGTTTCTGCGTAATTTCTACCAATTTTACAACATCCCAGTTACTTGATTAATGTTTTTCGACTGAGAGTTGTCAGAATCTCCTGAAAGACTGCCTTGATTGTATTTCCCCTTGCTGTCAAAAAACGATGTCCTTTTATCTGCAAAAGGTATTAGGTGAATGCCCAACTTGTTGGCCATAAGATTTAGCAATCAAATAATTACCTAAGTGAAAATTAAATACCATTTAAATGAGAGAAGGCATTTAAATTATGCAGATAACTTGTTCAGATAAGATTTAAAGCCTGATGAGAAAGTAAAGGCTTTGGAAATCTATTACAAATGATACTGTTGCTAATGAAAACCTAAGACATCTTTTCTTTGATTCTTGCATTTATTAAGTTTTCTTAAAGTACCCAGGTACTATTCATGGGAGAGGGGCAAGAAATACAAAGATTAATAAGATGCCATCCTTTTCACCTTTAGCCTGCTGTCAATAATATATTTAATGAGAGCATATGTGTTATAAAATATTTAAGACATTTACTCTTTCTCAAGGTGTATACATAATTGCACATAAATTTTGCACATAACTGAATCAATCTGTCTAGCATCGTATAAGGATTCAAAGTACTTTATAGACATTAACCTATCAATCCAATAATAAAACAGAACACAGCAACATAGCAATTTAAATTACAAGTAAGTCCATCTTTGCCCATTATGTAAGACTTCACAAAACAATTAAGCCTGTACAAAGAGTGATCAATTTTTAGGAGTCTTTATAGCATATATTTAAACTACTTCTCATGAAAAAAAAATTAGGCATTTTAAAAATAATCAGTGTGCATGGTGGGGCGGGGGATTAGAGAGTTTATTTTAGAAAATATTTAGGGAAAAAAGATGAACTAACTAGAAGCTGGAATCATAAAGTCAAAGCTGGCATGTCTTTTTAGAGCATTTGTGGTAAATAATAATTAAAGCAAAAAAAAATTTTGACCTCAATTTCTAGAGCAATAAGAATAAAAACCCACAGCAATTTTGAATTTTAAAGAGACAAGGTGGAGTCAAGGCAAGGATAAAGGAAAGTAACCAATATTGAGCCCATTTGAACAATGTTTTTGGAATATACGTTTCCTGATCAGAAAACCTATTTCTTAGTACGATATTTTTTAAAAGCACTGACACACACTATGTACCTGTAGGCAAACAAAACTAAATCCCTACCATATAAAAATATATATACACATTTTTGAGATGGAGTCTCACTCTGTTGCCCATGCTGGAGTGCACTGGTGCGAACTCAGCTCACTGCAACCTCTGCCTCATGGGTTCAAGCGATCCTCCTACCTCATCCTCCCAAGGAGCTAGGATAACAAGTGTGCACCACCACACCTGGCTAATTTTTTGTTTTAGTAGAGACAGGGTTTCACCACGTTGGCCAGACTAGTCTTGAACTCCTGACCTCAAGTGATCTGCCTGCCTTGGACTCCCAAAGTACTAGGATTACAGAAGAATTTTACAAATTTTCAGAATTTTCTGAAATTCTAAGAAAACAAGAAAATTCCTATTTTACATTATGCTACAAACATAACAGAAATCATCTGCAAATTACAGGAGAATCTTAAGGGTTTTAAAAATATACATACTTATTTGTTTTACCTCTGAAAAACTTGCATTAGATGTGTTCCCAAATAACAGATGAGCAGATAAGGCAAAAATTGGGAAGTCTTTGTTTACTATGAAACTAGTAACAGTGGGAAAGGAGCAGACTGCTAGACAAACACGGGCATCTTGGAATTCAGTTATCAGAATGATAAAGGGTGGCTTCTTGACTTAACCTCCTAGACCCAGAGGCATTTTAGATGGAATCTGTGGCTACCATAAAGATTCCAATTCACTTTCCAGAAAGTAGGATTTCTTTCAGTCTGGACAATGGAGACATCCTCCAAGGAGATGAGAAGGCTGACACAAGGACAAAAACAATGTTTCTTCAACTGAGTTGTTTGGGATAGATGGGTTGACTCTAAACAAGAGAACTCTGGCATTTTTCCTGTCCATGAGGCAGGCCATATGTGACTCTTGCTCCCTTGTTGCAGGACGTGCAACCTGCAAGGAAAGAGAACTAGCTCTTCAATTTCTTGTTGTTTTTTTGTAACTCTATTTCTGCAACTATACGCATATCAACCACTCAAACATGCACTGCACATCTCCTCACAATCCTCCGAAAAATGCGAAATGCCTTTTGAGCTAGGCTGGTCGTGGGTAAGGCAAGGACAGAATAGGAGACTGCAGTTAGCAGGAACACATACCTCATTGGAAGGGTCACTTGCTACTCAAGAGTAGCATCAAATCTAGATTCCTGCATGAATCTTCCTGTTTTTAAGAATTGTGCCAGACAAAGCAAAGCTGATTGTGGGCCAAATTCAGCATGAGGGCACCAATTTTTGAGATCTGCTAAACACCATTTCCCCACCCATCGTCCAAATAAATGAGTCTGACCACTACCCAAAATCGGTATAAGATGTCTTTCTTTTAGTGTGCTGAACAGCAGAGGAACTAAGGCTGCTGCTGAGCTGTTTTAATGGCAATGTGATACAGTGGTTAAGGAGTTGTAGAATAAGAGAGAGATTCAACTAACTAGCTGCTGGGTGAATGACTTGGGTCAATGTCCCTACAAAACAGAGGCAGTAGTGCAGGCAGAATGCTTTAAACAGAAAATCTGCACAACAGGGGTCAGAAGAGTTTACCTTATATAGTACATACTCAACAAGTGTCATTTTTTTTCTATTTATGTAATTTATCCTTTCTGCAACCAATGCATTTTTGAGACCTGATTCAGTTGTACCATAGCATCAGTGCTACTGATCCACACTAGCGAACATGACAATGGTTTTAATTATTACACATTTTAGTGAGAGATTGACAAGGAAATACATACAATGACATAGTGTTTCACTCACATACAAGTGCTAAGAAAATTATACCAGAAAATTATACTCTGAAGTAGAGTAACTTGGGTAGGGAGATACAACCCAGAGTGGGATGTCAGAAACAGCCTTTCTGGAAGCAACAAAGGAGATGAGACATAAATGACGAGAAGAAACCAGTTGTGTGAAAACTGTGGGGTCTCCGATACATTAAAAAAAAAAAAAAGTATCACATCCACTAGAAGTAACGACTTTTGATTATTTTAGAAATTCAAAAAAAGAAACAGAGAGGATGGAAAAAAGGAGGGAGAAGGTTTACAGAGAAAGCAAAGAACTCCAAAATGGTTGCCAAGGGAGGACTTACATTAAGGATGAAAAATGTGGGGCCAAATATAAAGCTTCCCTTCAACCCGCCCCAAACCATTCCTACGCCTCAAATCAGAAATTTCACTGGAGAAAGGTTTCCTTATTTCATTATTCCTCTGTTTCCTCTTTCTTTTTTTCCCAAGTTCCCCAGGATTAGAATTGAGCATAGGAATGAGAAGACCAGGGCAAAGTGGTCTTAACCAGTGTTGTCATGGCCATGACATCACAACCTTCTGGGAGGCAGAAGCCCAACTGCTGGATTTTTATGGCTTTCATCAGTGGATACATAAGAAGCTTTTGCAGGGAGGCCTTTGAAACTACCTTCAACAGTGACATCAACCAAGTTCTCTCCAACTGACCTCCATGCTTCCCCTCTGCACAGGCTCTACATACCTGGCTCCTCTCACCTAAGCAGGCAGCTTTCCTGGGCAAGGTCTTCACAAATTTCCCATGCTTGCACCTGCTCAGGCCACAAGCACAGTCAGCATCACTGTCCCACTTGACAATGTTTAGCCTAGCCATTATGATCAGCCCTCTACCTGCAGAATTGAATAAATCTCATAACCCTTAAAAATACAAGGTCTGAAACACACACACACACATACACACACACACACACACACACACACACACACACACACACACACTGCCCAAATCTTGAGTTATTTTTTATGCATCTGCTGGGGGTTGTTCAATCAACCATCTGGCCTCCTCTTAGTCCTTTGCGGCTATGTCTGACACCTCTCTTCCAAACAGGGTTACTGGTATCATATTGTCTGCAGCTTTGAGCTTTTGACGAAATGCTACAAAAACAAGAAAATTCCTATTTTATATTATGCTATTATATATAATATTTCTATATAAATAGAAATAGAAATAAAAAATATTTCTATTATATATAATAGAAATCATCTGCAAATTAACTTATAACATCTATAGTTCAGTATCTCACAGCCTGGAAATTATAAATTCATGGAATAGATTAGAAAACAGGGTTAAGAAGATCGCTTTAGATAGTCATAGACACTGTGTCTTATACAGAGGTATCCTAAAAGAGGGGATATTTTTTGTTGTGACAACTTGGAAGGGGCAGCTTTTTCTATTACACATCAGAGTCTTAATTAGCTAGTGGTGGCCCTGTTGATTTCTCTATAATATGATGTATTTTGACAGATATTACATAATCAGTCTTACTATTTTAGTCTAGATTAATTTGGAGGTGGGGATATAAATGAGACACCTCCAACCGTCTCAAGCCGTAGCTGTACTGCAGAATACTAACGGACTACCTTGTAGAACAACTTTAAATCCTATCATTTCAAATCCAGAAAGAAGCAATATCAGAATCAAAATTAACAAGCAAATGGTGAGCGTAAATGCAATCTACTATGAAGGAATGTACCTTCAAGCTGGTCACATGCACAATCTTCCACTGTCCAAATCACACAGAGTACAATTTCAATATCTATGATGTTATGAGAAGTATAATTAGACTTACCAAGTTTAATGCTTCCAGGTATTATACGATATGAAAGAAATTTATAAGCTTAACCTGGAAATCAACGTTCTTTTTAAAGGAAACAAACACAACAGAGCTAACCCAGTCTAGGAAAAGTAGAGATCATATCACACTCACATCAATTCAATTCTGGCTCTAAGTGAAAGGAAACAAATCAAAAGATGCTGACTGAGCATGCTTTTCTCTAGTGACATATTGCAATACTTTCTTGCAAAAAGAAAAAAAAAAACCCTTTAAATAAACATTTGATTTTTCAGACAGAAGGCTTTTTAGATAATTCTAAAAATACAGATTGGTTTTCATTCCTATCCTAATGGAAAAATAAAATAAAACTTCAAATCAGAGGCTTTTGTGTTAACTGGGAATTTTAAGCAAGTAATGCCTGCTTTATTTTAATAATGAAAAAAAACACCAGCAATGTAACTTCAGAATGCATTGAATGCAGTAACTCTTCACTGAAAATCTGAAAGTGTCACATGCTGTGAATGCTAAAAGTTAAATGATTAGAAATACACATAGAAAACAGTGGGCTGTGTCAGGCACCAACAACTTGCATTGCTGCTAGTGTGAGAAATGTCAATGCCCATGTTCAGAAACTGCTATCATGCTATATAACCTTTGGAATTTTACAGTATTGGTCAAACATATAAAGCTAAAGCAAAATACCAAGAATAGATCTGCTTTGCAGTATGAAAAAGAAAAAGCATCTGCAACTTTACAAATAAACCACACTAAATAAATAATGAAGAAAGTCAAATAAACCAACACAAACAACATAGAAAGGTTATGTTCACCACCTTGTCTCTTGCCATAAAAGAACTCATCCTTCTTTAACCTTTCATTATCTTGTGCCTGTTTAAAATTTTCAAAATTTAATCTTTCTGAATTATATTTTTAAATTCAAAATCTAATCTTTTCACACTTTTTAGAATCATGATAACTAAAATACCCAGGCAGAAAGAAGACAGGGAACAAGGTAATAATCAGCAATCTGCTGCTCTCCAGAGGCTTCTGAATATGCTTATGCAGAAAAAGAAGACAACTACTGAAATAACAATATATTATTCATGCAATTAAGCCCAACATATGATGTTAACTAACATTTTAAGGATTAGAAAGTAAAAGGGACTCAAATATTTGGGAGCAATAAAAATATTCTATGCCAAGAGTCAAGGGACATGATAGCTTCCAGATTGTCCAGTTTACAATTACACTGCAATCAACAGTGCTATGACATCAAAGAGCCCACTCTGTAGCAACATGCTTTAGGCAGGAGTAAAATGGGGTCCTTCAGACTTGAGAAATTATGCCTGGCATATTTTGTAAGACAGTTTGTTTGAAATTTTATGTTTTTACTTCACTTATGATCATAAGGCTATTTGGTTTTAGGAATTTTGAAAAATCTACTTCTTTTAAGAATCTACACTGGCTAATATACAGACTACTAAAGTCCCACAGAATCACAACATATTTATAATAAAATAATAATGACATATATTTGAATATGTGTTACCAATATGGGCTGGTACTGAACATAAGCAGCTTGTGTTCAGAAATGCTATTTTTAATAACTATGCTGTATTGCTTTCCATATGCTACATAACAACTCAAGTATGTAGATTTTCTTGGATAGTATCAAAAATTCATCTAAACTATTACATAGCATATGCTGAAAGGCAGTATTTGTGAAGAGGGCAGAATCTAAAGCTATGATTCTGGATTCAAACGCCATCTCTAAGATTTACTTGCTGGGTGATCTTGGGCAAATTACCTAACTTGGGTCTTAGTTTCTTCCTTTGAAAAATGGAGATATGCGTACATACTTCAAAGCACTTGCATGAGAATTAAATCATATATTCCATGTAAAATGGAGAGTATGGTGTCCAGAATCCATCATCATTAATTATCAGCTAATGTAATTATTTTAAGATCATTCTGCTGGCCCTAGGTTTATATGATTATGATTTGTACATGTATACATACACGTAAAACATATATTCACAAACACAGAACACATGTATATGGAAAAATATATATATATATATATGTATATAAAACACGAAGAATTCTACATGGTCATAGCCATTCAGCTATCCAAAAGAAAAGAAAGCTGTAGATTTGCTGAGGTTGCTACAGTTTAAAATGCTGCATGTTCAGTCAATTTTTGCAATGCTGTCTTAAGAAATTCAGCAATTACATGGGATCTGGGCAAAATTCTGCAAGAACAGCTTTTCTTCTAAATATATTTCCAATATGAATTTGATTATTAATCAAATATTAGCATATCTGCAACATATTGAGCCATATTCTCCTGGTTACTAATTTGCTACTAGGTTATAAAATAGAAGTTTTAAGAAATGAATTAATAACTCTTTCAGGACATTAAGAAGCTTTCAGGACAGGATTCTTAAACAAAGCTTAGACTTTAAGCAAGCAGTGGCAGTTCCCACGAATACATGCTCCACAAAATAAACAAACAAACAAAAATCACTTAAAATGGCATGTTTTAGTAATTGTAAAGAATGTTGAAATAATACAAAACCAAAATGAAGAAAGTACAAATTAACGATATAGAAAAATACAGAGACTTGTACCTTTATGTTTCCATTCATATACAGGAAGATTTCAGGGTGTACACATTTTCCAAGTCACTGAACCTCAGAAGTATGAGTTTCATTTATGATCCCATTTATGTTTCTTAAATGCCACAGCCACAAGTGTCCATTTTTGTATCTTTTGTTCTATCCTGGTTAGTATTTTACTACCTGCATCTTATTTGCTGCCTAAATGAGTCACCCAGGCTTTGCTATCTACAACCATTTTTTATTTCATCAATTAAAAAGGGATCTCAACACCGATTTCAGTTTTTTCTCTGGCATCTAAAACATTTCAAAAGCAGTAAGTGGCAAGCTCTCCAAAGACCTATGCAGGGTGAAATACTGTTACTAACTTCAATACAATAACCAATAAATGTCAATGCTGCTGTGTCAATAATATGAAATAGGAACGTAATATAATTCAGCATAAACACGTTAGGTTTCTTTCCTATGTTTTCTTGTCTGAGGTACAGGATAAGGTAGGTAAAGATGTTCTAAATACAGATGTTTGGATGTGAGTATTAAGAAGCTTTAGTGGTTGGTGGAACTTTAAAAAAACTATTTTAGAAAACATAATTTTTCTTTTCCTTGTGATAAATATATCACTAGACTGATGCTTCTATTCCTGTACCTGGTAAAGGTCATCAATGGGTGGCTGACGGGAGTTGTTACAGAAGGATTAAAATGGAATGTACAAGAGGAAAGCACTTAAACAAGGAGAAACTATGAATTCAGGGTTAAATATGTGAACCTTCCATTTACTGAAACTTTTTGTGTTATCATCATGTGATGGCTCCATCTAACCATAACATCTCTTCCTTTTCTTCTCTGCACAGTTGAGCCTTTGCCAGTATGACAGAAGTCACTATTATTTCTCTGAGCCACTCACTCTACCATGTGCTTTCATCCTATTAACTCAGTTAATTCTCAGATCAATCCCAGGAGCGAGATACTATTATTTCCCACATTTGCCAGATAAGAAATTTAAGATTCAGAGAGTGGAAGTGGCTTGCCTAGAGACAGCAAACTAGTAGCAAGAATTCAACCAGGGCATGTCAGTGCCCAGAGTTCAACCTTATAATCATCCCCTCACAGCATCATCTCAGTGCAAGGCCATACAGGTATGTGTACTGCCTCTGTGACAGCAGAGTAATACTGCAACTTTAACTTACATTCAGTACCAAACAACATTCATAAATGAATATTCTAGATATAAGTAAGCAACATTCACTATTTTTCTTATTTGTAACTTAATGCATCTCAGTAACAAGAAATTTATACTATCAGATAAACACAAAAAACATAGAGATATTATCTTTAAAACATGCAATTTATTTATGAATCCAACTAATTTACTGCTATCGGTCATAGACACACAAAATCTTAATACAAATTTTTATATATTTTCAGTGAGTGCATAGTCTTCTATTTTACATCAAAGTTTTCAGTCAAGCCTCTCCTGGTTTTTTATCATAGATTAAAATTATTGTACTGAATATCAGTGGATGGGGTTGAATTCGGGAAAATTCTACTGCTTTCTGACTGCAAGGTTATTATTTACTTGATCAGCAAAACACACATTACCTTAAGTACACAGAACTGAAGGACAAAGAATAAACGGTAGCTATCTTACCTGTTTAAGAGCCTTTTTGGTGTGTTGCTGGAAGGAAGACACTAACTTGCTTTGCACTGCTGTGTTAGTAAGGCTTGAATCTCGAGTAGAAGATGCTTCATCAGTTACCTGCTTCGAACAAACTAGAAACAGAGAGAGATAATGATATTACTAATTTGAATTCCTTTTTTTATATCCACTGTAATTACACACTTGGAGCTTTTCTCCAATTGAAAATGGATACCTAAAATAAAGCAAAATAGCACAGTAAAAAGAAAAGTATCTAGATTTGAAGAAAAGGAATCATTTAATAACTGTGTGGCTGCAGTTCCATTTAACCTTTTTAAACCTTCCTGTCCTTACCCACAAATTGATAATAATTTCTGTGTCACTGAGCTATTGTACGGACATAAAAAAAAATAGCACAATGTCTGCCTCAGGAGTTGGGAGTCAGTAGGTACTATCCTAGTTTGAATAGGAAGACTGGGAAATGCATAGTATTCTGAAGAAACATCTAAATTAATGCAATTGTTTTAAATCTACCCAGCCTCACAGGTATTATGATTCTTCTATTTAGCCTTACTACTACAGAATCCGTGACCTATGGGACATGTTTACTTTCTCCTGTGGGCTGAGTCATAAAGCATGGATAAGGAAAGAAGAAATCTGAGATGCTTGTTGCTAATTCAAGATAATTATTTTGAGGAAAATGGTGCTCTCACAGATTACAACATAACTGCCCACTTTTATCAGAGTCGGGCTTCCATGTTGCCTATTCTACAGAAGACATCAAAAGACTGCTTTTTAGGAGAATCGATGTCTCACTGACTTGGGTGACCAAGTAGAGCCCACAGGCGGTGTCTGCTCCCTGAAGCCCATGTTTGAGCCAGAACTCTCCCTTTAGTTCTCCTCAAAATGAGAGACTTCTGAGTCCTCATTTGACTCCTCCTCAAACTGAGAGACTTTAACACTGAAATGGTTTGAGTAGGAGCACAGATGCAGGCCCTTTTCTGTATACACTGGGGGAGAAGGAATTTGGAAAATCAAAATGAGGAAGTACTATGATTAGCGGCAGAATGGAGGCATATGTCAAAGGCAGGAGGCAAGAGGAAGTTAGGAGAAAATAACTTGAGAACATATTGTAACAAAGCTCAAAACATGACTTTTTAAGGGCACTAGGGTTAGTGCTAGTTCAAGAAAACTTTCCAAGCGATGGTAACTTGAAAGGGTTCTGACCTGAGTTTGAAAAAATAAAGTGAGAAAGTAAAAAATTATTGTAGTAAAAAATGAAAGCACAGGTATATGCACCACACCGAGAAGACTTAACTTGCTTCTGATAGACTCAAACACACCTTGCCTAGAAATACTCAAGGGGCTCATGAGAGCATTCTGGGAAAAAAAAAAAAAATCATCAAACTTTTTGTTAATAAAGTAATCAGAAAGCCAAATGAACAAGTTTAGGAAAATTAAATCATTATTATTTATTAATGCCAGGCACTTCCCACATGTGATTTGATTTAATCCTTGCAGCTCTCTTGTAACACAATAAGGTATATATTTCTATATTGGAAGGAGAAAACTAGAGCTCAGAAAGGTAAAATAACTTGCCCGTGATCATAAAGCCAATGAAACCGCAGAGATGGGATTCAAGGCCAGCCCAGTCTAGCTCCAGAAGCCATGATATTTCTACTTATAATATTTGGTTTCAAAGGTCAACATGTGATACAGAAAATATCATATCTAAAGAAGTATAATTTAGTTGCATGGTACTGGAGGTATGGAAACCAGATGTTATCAAATATAGGCTCAAACAAGTCACTCAGCACCTGACAAGGAAAAATTGAGAATTGTAAGTGATGGGCCCAGGAAATACTATGGTTGAAGTAGCAAAAAGATTTGCAGATGAACTGAGAAAAGTCATTGAATTAAAGATCAGGTGTCTTTTTTTACTTAATACAATATGAATTTTTTCCTTAAGACAGTCTAAATGTTCTAGTTAAGAAACATTTTATTATATTGATCACATAAATTATGGTTCCTAGGCTTCTCTCCTTTAAATAATCACTAGAATAATTTGTAACATTTTATCAAAGCATATTTAGCAAGAAATACTAACAATAATCACCAGTTTATAGTCAACATAAATATATGCTATTTACTGATAATATAGATAGCCTTTTCAATATTTTGAAGTCTCTATGAAATGTGACCAACTAAGCAGGTGATGGAGAGATGGCAGATAGAATGTATGATCCCAAATGAACAGATCTTATGTATGCCCAGCCAAAAGTCAAGTGTCCATTAGCGAATATGTTGTATTACTTTCACATTCTTACAATGGCATTTACACCTAGAAAATGGGAAACTTACAGGTTAGTTCATTTAAAGGAGAACTAAATGCAGTCTACAGATACTAAGGAACTCAGGAAAAATATGACAGTGCGTTTACATACTGGGCATCTAAATGTAATACCAATTTGTTTAGAAAATGCTATTATTCATACGTCTTTCAAAGGTAAACTTCACTTCAGCAGGACTATTCTGACCCAGTGTACATGTAATTAAGGCCCTTCATCCCTCTTATTTTCTGAATGAGAAAACAGCAGTATGTAATCATCTGTCCTTCCTGAGGGTAACTGTTAAATAGCTCACCATTTACTCTATTTCTGACCTAAGAAACCATCAGACATTGGGATACCTATTTCAGTATCAGCATATACACTGCATACTTTGGGTTAACTTTAGTATGGCACTATGTTGATAACGATTGACATCTACTTACATATGTTGTATCCAAAAGAAAGATTCTGTTCAATTTAGAGTCCAGATCTTCAGAGGGAGGGCAGGACAGCAAAACTGAAACTGCACTAAGGGATACCATGAAGTTTGTTCCAAAAATGACTCATTTTCCTTTACCCAACTTTATTTGCTTTATCTTACGCTCCATTCTAGACCCATGTAAAGCATCCAGAACACCGGTCCGAGGTGGTAACTTTTCTCCTCAATCCTTCTTTCTGGAAGTTGTTCCTGACGTTTATTTCTTCGGATCAAACTATATTTCCCTATTTATTTACTTCTGATACAATAACTACAGATTCTTAAAGAAAAACAAAATATAACAGAAAAAAATGTGTGATTGTTCCTTTGGGTTAAATAACTGATTTTGAAGGAAAAAAATCAGGTAAGAAAAAATGGGTAGGACACATCTGTAATTCACCCATAGGCTTTAAGCAGTGTGCTCATATACACATTTTTAAAGTACTAGCAAATATGGACCTTTTTCATGGGCATTTGAGTTGTTTTATTCATTCTTTTTCCATGTATATGACTTGAGAATAGCTGAATCTAAAAAACACTAATTCACTGAGAATAGTTGGCTTGTGCAGGTTCATGCAGATTCACATTCTGACAAAATGCAAGGTTTTCACTTTTACTTATTCCTGCAGCTTTCTTAATAATAGATGTGATAAATAAATAATGAAGGGCTCATTTTAAACAGTTGCCTGAATATTTATCTAAAGAGACTGAGTTTGGCCTCTGAAATACAAGCCAAAGGAAAATTAATGTTAAAGAAAGGATCAGGGAAAATCCCTTGCATGTAAAATTACAACAGGAGCCAGGAAACTGAAGAATTAGGACAGATGTTTTATCCAATAAATATCAAACACTGACATGCAGCTTAGAAAGTGATATCTTCTTGGCATTCAGAACAGAACGGGAGCTGTTTTTTCTAACTGTGTACTGGTATGATCACAAAACTAATGCCAGGACCTTATACCTTGAAATCCCACAATATAGCCTGTCCTTTTCAAACTGAAGATGAGGAAACAAAAATGAGACTAGTTCTCCCTAGAATTTTTATCATTCCACAGTTTTTAAAAGGTATAAAAATACTATTTCTGTCTACATTTTGCTTGCCTGCCAAAAATAGGCAAGCCAAAAGCATAGTTAAAAGCTAATCTGCTGATTTTAAATGTGCCTCTCAATACCTCTATTCTCACTCCCCAAACCCTCCCTCAAAATACTCTATTCAGAAAATCTGGGAGCAAAGGGAGGTGGGAGATTATAGGTAACCATGAGACACCCGTGAAGGCTGGAGAACTGGTGACTGTTCCAGCAAAAGTGTGGGCTTCAGTGTCTCCAAGCTGTCTCTCTCTCCTTTCTATTTACCATTCAACTTGAAAATACTATTGAACTGGAAAATGTAGATTAGAGCTCTTATTTAAAAAGCTGTATGCTAGGGAGGGGATATGGTTGGCATTCCCTCCTAATCTAATTACTAATCCACTGACAGGTGTACTAGAGGACACACACAATTGTAACTGTGACCCACAACCCAGGATATAAAGAAAGAAGCAATCAGAAGGCAAACTTGATCCGTCTCTCTTGTCTCACATTCTGCCTGTCTCCCAATTCTCATCCTCCATAATCCAGCCAATCTGGAGACTATTCAATATCTTCTGAACACATCTACTTGCTGTGTTTGTTGTACTTGCTCTGACTGTCCCTCCTCCAAATATCCTTACCCAACACTCTGCCTGGCAAACTCATCTTGGCAGTCCAAATTCTTAACAGCTTCCCCCAAAGCTTCTCTGACTATCCCAGCTTCTGAGGTAGACTTGCTCCTCCCCTAGCCATGCTTTCTTGGAATTTGGTGTACGAATTCATGACAGTCCCTGCAATTCTCGTGCTTTCATCTGCCTCAGCAGCCACAGGCTCAGAAACTCAGGGACTTCCTTATATGCAAAGATGGGAACAGAGCAGTCGATCTATTAATGGTCACTGAACTTTTTAAAAATCAAAACTTTAAAAATCAAATTAAAAATTTTGTTTAAAGTATTTTTGAAGTTAACTTTCAACTATAATTTTTAGTAAGAATTCATGAAAGTGGAGGTTAGCAAAGCTATTTTTTATGAAAAAATATGTGTAAAATGAATTGTTATAAACTTGAAAATAGAAACCTTGTTAAATTATTTTTCCAAATTCTTCTAAAGTCAATTAGGGATAATATGAAAGCCAAATGATAGAATTTCCTATGCAAGACAGTAGGAAGTTGCACGACCTGCCACTATTTATAGATTTCTCCTTGCCATCTTTACTCATTGCCTTATTTAACGAGTAAAGTCACAGTTTTGTGCTTTTG